AGGAACTTTGCATAATTTTCTCAACTATCAAAGATCCTTCAACACCTGCATTCTTAGCAATGGCCAACGCAGGAATTTTGAGTGTTCTTTTAACAATTTCTATACCAATTTTTTGATCTTCATTAGCTGGAGTTAATGAATCCAAGGCTGGAATGCACCGAAGCAGGGCACAACCCCCTCCCAGAACAATGCCTTCTTCAACAGCAGCTCTCGTAGCATTAAGGGCATCTGTAACTCTTTCTTTTCATTTACTTCAACATCGCTTGTCCCATCAACCTTCAATACAGCTACTCTATCTGAAAGTTTTGCCAGATGTTCATTCAGTTTTTCCCTTTCATATTCACTAGTTGTAACATCTAACTGCTCAATGATTTCTTGAATACGTTTTTCAATTTGAGCCTTGTCACCTTTTCCTTTCAAGAGCATGGCATCATCTTTGGTCACAATGGCCTCTCCAACTTTTCCCAAGTCATGAGGCTGAACATCTTCAAGATTTAGGGTCAACCCCTCTTCTCCAAACACTGCACCACCAGTAGCAATAGCCATGTCTTTAAGCTGGTTCTTTCTATTATCACCAAAACTTGGAGCTTTGACTGCTACGATTTGGAGACCAACTTTTAACCTATTCAAAATGAGTGTACTTAGAGCTTCCCCATCAACATCTTCAGCAATTATGACCAAGGGCTTATGGTGAGCATTGGCAATCTCAAGAGCAGGTACAATCAACTGGACACTGGAAATTTTCTTTTCACTCAGTAGAACATAGGCATCCTGGAATTCACATTTCTGACCTTTTGACGTGTTAATAAATTATGGAGAGATATAGCCTCGATCAAATTTCATGCCTTCAATAATTTCTGATTCATCATTGAGTGTTTTTCCATCCTTTACTGTGATGATGCCCTTTCTTCCAACCTTTCTCATTGCATCAGAAATGATGTTGCCAATTTCTTTGTCTCTATTTGCAGAAATTGTAGCAACCTGGGCAATTTCTTCAGGGGTTGTCACAGGTTTAGACTGCTTCTTTAGTTCAGCAATTACAGCATCAACAGCTAACATCACACCTCTCCTGATTTCCACTGGATTAGCGCCTTTGCTAATCTTCTCAAAGCCTTCCTTGGCAATAGACCGTGCCAGTACAGTAGCAGTGGTGGTACCATCCCCAGCCTCTTCATTTGTGTTATTGGCAACATCTTGAAGAAGTTTCACTCCAATATTTTTATATTTATCCTTTAAGTCAATTGACTTTGCAACAGTCACACCATCTTTTGTTACTTTGGGACTTCCCCAACTCTGTTCAATAATCACTGTTCTTCCCTTTGGCCCCATTGTAACAGCTACAGCATCGGCTAAAAGGTCTACACCTTGAAGCA